ATAGGTAATATATAATGAAACGTAAGAGAGAACTATCAACAAATTGTGAAAGAGAGGATGTGACAGGTGGGTGTAGCAGGAGGTGTCTTATTTTCTATTTGATAGCTCTGTAACCAAACAAAATTGAAGGCTATAAATATTATGGTTTGTTTGAGCAACAACGATTTTATAGAGAGTATTTTACGTTTAATTTCGTACATTTTCAAGAGGTGATGGATAAAATAGGGATGATGACATGCTAAGACAAAATGTATCACGTGGGTCACTAGTGGAAATTCAGGATTTTTTTATATATTTCCTTATTGAATTAAGAACTTAAAACTTGTATACAATTAAAATATGGATCATTAGCTAAAATTTTATGCTATTCTAATTGGTATAACATAAACAAAAAGTAGTTTAATAAAATTTTCAATGTAAGACTTTAAAAAACCTTGAGTCATGCGCAGTAAAGGGTACCCGGAGTGATAGGGTTAACAAAATATGACATCAGAGAGGGGATTCAGCTTAAAGTTATAATTTTCCTATATTGAAAATGTATTTCTGATAGGTATTTACCTCCTTTTACATAAATAGCTATTCTTGTTCAGTGTTTCCCCTCTGTACCAATTTTTTTTTTGCATGCCACAAGCCTTGAGCTCTCACGTATCCTAAGATTAATGTGGTTCAACTGCGTCTCACATGCAAATCATCATGCGATAACCCTTCTCCAATAGGAGTGCAACATACCCTTCTGATGCATGTGACTTCCTCTATTCGATTCTACCAAAGTATCACTTTGAGTTTTGGCAGAAAATGGAAGCACCAGTTTTCAGTGGAAGGAAGGGTGGAAAGTGCAAAAGGAGGAAGGTACCTATCAGAAATACATTTTCAGTACAGGAAAATTATAACTTCTGATACGGTACATTACCTCTTCTCACATAAATAGCTAGAATCCCACATTGAATAGGTGGAGGGTCTGGTGCGAGGGAAAGAAATAAGTATCTATCAAAAGCATCCGAAGGATAATACATGGGAGATCTCACCACTTCTGTAATAGATATACTCTTTGCCCAGTGTGGAAAGAGGTGTTGTAGAAATGGGCGGAAATTGGGAGGAGCACATCCAAAAAGGGAGAGAACAATGGTTGGTTAGGGATCCAAACCACACAATATTTGAATCTCAATCCCATAGAGTACATCAATGTGGGTGAGAGTAAAAGGATGTACATCTAGGTTTATAGATGCTAGGGAGCAACGGACCGTCCACTGCAAGTCAACTGCATCCAAAACCCAGCCACCAGAAGCAGACATCCGTGTAGGGGTAGGAAAGAGGATCATACCGGCAGCAAGTGAACTACAATCCAAAACCAAACCATCTGATGTTGGTAGGAAAGAGGATCATACTGGCAGCAAGTAAACTACAATCCAAAATCAAGCTTTCCGGTGGGGGTAGGAAAGAGGATCATACCTTCTTCACCTCACATTCAGCAGACTGGAGGGAATCTCGTAACCTCTGATCAATGAATAGGCCAATTCATAATCAGGTGGAGGAAAATTGTCAAAATAGGTGTCGTCTGGAACAGGTTCTGCAGTTTGAGGAGGAAGGCAAGCAATAGTGGGAGAAGGTTGGGCAGACACTGGACCCAGGGACCTCAAACCCAAAATTAATTGTAAGAAGTATAAAATATAATTAATTACTAAAATGAAAAAGTCATTATATTGTAAAATTAAGTAAGCATATATTGACAAGGAAAAATTTAGAAGATGAGATTTGTTGAAGAAACAATAAGTTTACCCTAATTTGCAATTTACCAGTAAAATGAATGACAGGTAAGCCTAAAATTATAAAGACACATGTTAAGCCTAAACTAACATTATAGTACAAACAGATATCACTAAATCTTAATTAAAAAACCCTTACCTTATAAGGAGTAGGTACAAATCTAAACAAATGTATGTTATTGAAACTAAATAACTACAAATAATAATATTAATATCAAAATATTCAAAAAATCTAGAACAGTATTACAGATTATCTGTTCAAAGTCTACAGACCCAAGTGTGTGGGCCACCAAACTTGAGGCCCGACGAAGGTCAACTCATACAAGATCAATCTCCCAGTGTATTAAAGCTAACAATTCCTCAGTCAAGTACCACCACTTGAAGCCTAGGTAATTTTGCTGGAAGTAAATGTTAACATTTTGAAACATAGGCTTCAGTGAAAAAATTAGAAAATATCTCCACTTCGAATGAAATTAAAAAGAAATCATTGGAAGAGAGCACAAACAACATCTTGACAATAGCACTGCCAAACAAGAGGTGATAGTTCAGTAGATTCAAATAGACTTGATAAAGAAAACTTATTCTTGTACATATACATCATTTATGGTAACCTTCATGCTTCAAGATTTAGAATATTAACCCATTGACTTAGGCTGCTCTAAGCATGCACAAAATTTTTGCAAGCCATACCCTGTATATGGCACATTCATATTAAACTGCCAGAGGTGGACTGTACCCTATATGTGAATCAATAGTCAGTGGGTTAAAGATCACAACTTTTGGAATAAGAATTATCAACAAATTATTACATGTGTACATACAGACATAGGTGTCATATTCACTCAGTTACAACCTCTAAAATGAGTTTACCATAACACATCCTTTTCCAATCATTAAGAAAAAGTACAGATACTTTGTAGAAATACAATTACACCTTCACTGTAGAATCTAAACCGACCAAAAATCTATTTTCAGATCCTCATTCAGAATAATATTACACTTACTTTCACTTAATCTTAACATAAAAAAAACATTCCCCCCTTTTTTTAAAACCTCTCAGTCAAAAATATCACTCTTGTACTTATGTAGGCGACTTACAACAGCTTAACACTTAGAAATAAAAGCTATTCTTACTGGAGTTTTCACAGGATAAAGATTTTCTGGAGAGCATGGCATCCTCACATGATTACAATCCCATTTATCTCTGTATTTTTCAGGAAAAGGTCTTGGGACAACACCAGGTTGAATCCATGGCTAGAGAAACATGTAAATTAATTCTCATATATATAATTACATTCTAACTGGAAAAAAAAAGCTTCCACAGTAATCATATGTAACTATCATAAACCAACACAACAATGATAAAAAAGTACAATTACAATCACATTACTATCTTACCCCCAAAACAGAATCTACACCTGATAGTGCATATCAAATTTGTTGTGCAAAGACTTACTGCTGTACTTGCTTATGTAAAGAAATACTGACAGAATATATATATATATTGTACTTTCAACATAAACATGAGCATGCTTACTAAAAGTATATTAATAAATAAAGAACAGGTAAGTATCAGTAACATATATATATATATATATATACATACACAGTTATGTGTAATGTATACTCAGCATTTTTTCTTCTGTTTTAGATTTACACAAACTTTTAGTTGTTTCTACACAATACTTAGGATACAAGCCCTGTCATAAAGTTAAAAGTAATGAAACATTTATGTACTCAACTTCATTTTCTGCAGCTGTTATATTCACCACAACAGCTGTGTATGTATAAACTGAATGTTTATGTAAAATATACTGTAAATGTAGAATATGTAGAGTAAACAAATGACAAATTCTACATTTACAATGTATTAAATTAATATGCGACTTTAGCATCAATCCACATCTCTCAGAGCTTGTTTGTCTGAATTTATCACAAAGCTATTTCGAGGGCTACCTGTGTTAGCCTTCCATTATTTTTAAATTGTAAACTAAAGGGAAAGCAGTTAGTAACCACCACCACCACCCATAGCAAACTTTTGGACTACTCTAAACGAATAGTGGGATTTCATTGTCACCCTTATTATGCACCCATACCCTCAAAGAACAGTGAAGAATTTTTTTGAAGCAGGAAAAAATAACACCTGAATACACAATGTTATAAACAATAAAATGTTTATTTTTTCATAAATCAAAATATTTTTCTTATAAACCTAACTCCTCATATTCATGAAAGGATTGCTACAATTTTTTATGCTTGAAGATATCTGAAGTAAGCCACAAGGCATCAAAATTTACAAGTACATTGCAAAATTTTAAATACTTGTTATATCCTTCTATAATGTAAATGATCATTCTAGTAATTTAGCATAAAACTGTGACATTCTAATTCCTGACATTCACAGCAATATAACAATAAACATAAATATTCATTATATTAAAATAAAAGTGTACACTGATGTGGTAAGATGTTGTTTTATTCATTTCTTAATGTAATAAATTCATTTTATGTTGACTTGTGCATCCATTTCTATCTACAAGTACCAGACCATCTTTGCCTACATTATCACAGTAAATGTTAATCAAAGAAAAACTAACTTTTCAACATGACGCAGAATGCATTTCCTATAATAATTTTAAATACTTAACAAAATAGTATACATTCTTACAAAACTTTAATGCAAATCTTCAAATAAAGAACTCGTACTTTTAGTATACAAACTAATAATAAACAAAAAATTTAGCCAATGTTTGAATATTAATTAAAAGATTAATCATAAATGTATACTGTACAGTCTTTATTATGTATATTTGTATAAAGGAAAATTAACTTTTCTTTCATCTAAAATCATGGGACCTTCAAAAATATACAGTATATTCAGTAACAATGATCTCTCTATGATTTTTATAAATGTAATAAGATAAAATCTGTACTACTGGATCAGAGAGATGAGTTTTAATTAATTTCACTTCAAGATCTTTTATTATCTATAATCTAAGGTAAAATCACAATAATTACATTAAGCCATAATTTATCAGTTATTTACATTTAGTTTTAAAAGCCTAACCTGATTGTTCTTGTCTATCAATATAAATGTAGAATGTCTTACACTGTTCCAGATAAATAATAAATCAGCTGTGACAGCATTAATTATCTCAAACTGACACTTTACTATCTAGTGATTACTATCACAACTGAAAATAAAGTTAGTGAAAATATTGGATGGACAAAAATAGAATGACAAAATCTGCCACATCAATCAGTTCTATTATAAAAAAAAAGTAATAATACATTTGCTCTAATAGAAAATGATTTCAGATTCAAATGTGGTATTCAGGTGCAATGACAGCCGATAGAAAAGTCTAAGTATCAAGTAAATGGGGGAAACATGGATAGCAAAGTTAGTTTAACAAGTAAACACAAGCGAACCTGTAAAAATAAAATTCTTAGTTCACACTATACTGGTATCAAACTGGCCAAATTTAAACTTGTATGACTACTGTCTGGTTTCTGGGGTCAAGAGCATTAAGATAAACCGAAATAGAGCTGAACAAGAGCCCAAAAACAAGACAGAATTATGGAAATACTCCATTTTTATGTTCAGGCACAGCCTTTGTGCATTAACTCATAAGTCCTCATAAATGGTTTACATAGAACTCTATGCCATCTGAAGTCAATCTATATGGGTTTGTGCATTACTGTGTGAAAAAGCCATCAAAATTGTGTATGTGCTAGCTTGAGAACTTAAGGTAAGAAAAGTAGCAGAATGTAAACTTTACTTGTGAAAAAAAAGTCAGTATATGGTTATAACCTTTTTACATCTGTTTAATAAGAACATTTTACCTGCATGCAAACACCTGCTTGAAAATTTTAAAAAATCCTCTCTATGTGAAAGCATGAAATTAGTAGCTATTTCAGCTATGACAGAAGCTCATGCTCCTATTCATGGTAATTCATACAAAAGCTACATTCAGTGTTTGAATACAATGTGCAGTATATTTTCTTTCTCTCTCTCTTTTGAAGTAACTTCAAAAAAATTATTAAGTGTATAAAAGAAAATTTAAAGTTTCCCATTTCGAGAAACATTAAAATATGTATAATGGAATATTTAAAGTTCATAGCTTTCCAGTTTGAAAAACATTAAAATATTGTGCATGACAATACATAATTAAATCAGAGTTTCAAAGTCACTGAAACATCATTCAAACAGTTTTAAAAAAGCATTTCAAGTGCTATTTTAGCTAGTTTTCAAATTTTCTTCAGAGATCACATTATATCAAAAAACATCTTGCCACAAAAGCAGCCACACAAAGATCCAGGTTTTACCACATAAACTATCAATTTATCAAACTATCAAACAAATGCCAGAATATGAAAACCTATTATTTGTGAACAATCAAACTTCTTGATCAAAATTAAATTTGTTTCTATTCTAATATTGCTGTTCTGTGTGTAGAGGTGATTATTATCAGAAATAATAATCACCTCTGCACACAGAACAGCAATATTTCTTGCTCATCTCTACAAAAAGACTTGTATACCACTAGCCTTGAGCTAAATCCAACCTAAGTTAACGTTTAATGTGTACAATACTGGTGCATGATGATTTCATCATGCAACAATAGTTCTCCACCAATAGGAGGACGGACAACACAAACTTGGCGGTGGGTGGTGATGACTAGCTGCCTTCCCTCTAGTCTTACACTGCTAAATTAGGGACGGCTAGCGCAGATAGCCCTCGTGTAGCTTTGCGCGAAATTCAAAAACAAACAAACAATCCTCACTTCTGGTGCCCCTTTTTTCTGGCCTCATCTAAGAACAAAGTCATCTCAATTGCAATTTCTTAGGGGAGGTTACTGTGCATGGCCAGAAGTGAGGAGGTCAGCTGGAAATGTGTAGAGGTGAGTATCTATTGGAAATATATTTTCAGATTAGGAAAATGTTAATTTTTGAGACAATACCTTACGTCCACACACAGAACAGCTAGAATACCATGTTGAATTGTTAGAGAGGCCAGAGCAAAGTTTAAACCTAGATGAGCTCCTTTCAGAAAGCACACAAGGGGAAAGCTCATTAAGTGTGACACCAAATGGCAGGGGCTCCATAGGGGCACACCCATGGGAGGCTGTATCTCATCTCAACCACAGTATACTCTTTGACTAGAATGTAAGAAAGGGGAGAGGCAAAAGAGCCCCAAGTGTTGCAGGGATGGGCAGAATTCAAATATAGGCAACCAAGCAACTGCACACCAGCAGTCAGCAAGCCAATATGTGTAGTTTAGTTAGGGCACGATCAGACAACATGACTCAACTGAACAGACTCTGGCTGCAGGAGGAGGAGACATGAGCTGTGCTGGGGGTAACCCATACTACACACACACACAGTGTCTCCAATGTCTTACTTCTCTCCATATTGTGCTAAATCTAACCAGTGAGGAATTCTTCAAGGACCACTATCCCAATGGCTAGGAAATGGTAGGTGGCAAGAGTCTCCAATGCTATACTTGACGAAAGGGAGGGGTGGAATTTGGGAGACTCAGAGAAGCACATGGATCCATATTGGTCCACCTGCTGGAAAGGTCTTTCACAGTGCAGTGTGTGACCACAAACCCTATATCAAAAAGCTGGGAAGTATGAACCAAAGAAGTATGCAATCACTTCCCTGGTGCCATCTTCTTCCATGATAGTCCATGGAATGATAAAGTCTGGATTGGGCAATTTTATTAATTCTCTTGTACACCACAAGAATACCTGTAATAGTCTTACAGTGCATACCATCTAGACAGTGGGCACTGGTAGAGCCAAGGAGGATGGTCTGAATGCTTTCCATTACCTCTGGCCCAATGCAGATTTTACAAAATAAGCATAGCTTGGGTGCATCATCAGCCACCTGATGGGACCTAAGAAAGGAAAAAAAAGAGCTTCGAAAATGAAAATGTACTTATCCTTCTCAAAGAAGGTATGCAGGTGTTGTGAAGAACCGTGACTGGGGTGAATTGAAACCCTGCAGGAGACAAAACAGCCAGATGAAGAAGATAAGGGGAGACAGACCTGTGCGGATTTATCCACATGCCAGCCTGAACGATCTTGTCTGAGGAGAATGAGACATAAGAAGGTGAGATAGATAACGAATATGATGCAATGAAATATCAAAGGACAATCACCTACCTGAACAGCTGAAGTATTAGGAAGAAAGATCTGGTCAGGATAGAAGAAGAAAGTATGGAGAAAGAGAGTGCAGGAAGCATTGAAGGCATAGACATTCGAATGATGACAACAATAGGCAAGAAGAAAGATGAAACAATAAATATGAAGTTAATGGCTCGAACAGAGCCCTTGGAAGAGCATGAAAACTGCAACAAAGTCCCAGTTTGGTCATGAAAGTAGAGCAAGAGGGTCAGTGAAGAAGGAATGATTGGAATAAAGTGGAGAGGACAGGAGAAGAAAACCAGACAGCAACTGGAAATGCAAAATGTAGAAGATATCAAAAAACTAGCAAGAATGGAAAACAGATAATCCATGATTGAGCAACCATGTGAAAAGGGCCAAAAGGAGGGCCACATTGGGATGGCTCCGAGAAAGGAAGAAGCAGGTGGATGAATGTCATAAACCTGACAGAGTTGAAGGACAAAAGAATTATGATCAGAAAATGGATACACAATGAAGAGCTCAGCCCTGTGAGGAATGAACTGGGCAAACCGGACATGTGAAAGTGAAGGGACCACACCCCTGGGAGAAAGAGAGACAGACACAGTAGGAGCAAGAGAAAGGGAATAGGGCAGAGGAAGAGGGGGCCCAAAAGCTAAATGAAGGAGTAAAGGAAAGCAGGGTTGAGCATGCCAGAGGTATTACCAACAAGACCGGACAAGGAGTGTTGAGTATAAAAGTGAGGATACAAGATAAGAGATAAGGAGGAGAAACCCAGTTATCTTGGGAACATAAGAAGACTAGAGCAAATCCAGGTGTAAGGGTAAATACCTTCTCCATGACATTTTCAGGCAAGAAACTGAGACTGCATCCTCTAGACACTGAAGACAAAGGGGAATGAAAGGAGCGGAAAGGAAACAAAAAAAAAGGGGGAAGGAGAGGAGGAGAATTGAAGAGACAAGCTATGAGAGAAAACCTGAATAACCCATCTGATATACCAAGCTCTTTCCACAGCTACTTGCCTGTCTGGAACAACTACACACAGTGCTCAAAGATGAATAGTTAAAAATGCCACAGGATGTCTTGTGAAATGTTGATTTGTTTGTTTTGAATTTTGCGCAAAGCTACACGAGGGCTATCTGCGCTAGCCGTCCCTAATTTAGCAGTGTAAGACTAGAGGGAAGGCAGCTAGTCATCACCACCCACCACCAACTCTTGGGCTACTCATTTACCAACGAATAGTGGGATTGACCGGCACATTATAATGCCCCCTCGGCTGAAAGGGCGAGCATGTTTGGTGTGATGGGGATTCGAACCCGAGACCCGCAGATTGCGAGTCGAGTACCCTAGCCACCTGGCCATGTGAAATGTTGAAGTTGTCATTTACACCAAAGGGAGTCCTACCCAATATATGGCCATTCCCTATTCTTTTTTTTTTCCCCAAGCAGTGTATAGTAAGAGCCTCAAGGAACAAAAAAAAGAGAATAATACATATTTCATGGTTCAGAAAATTAAAAAAATATATTAACATTATATTAATATATTTTAAAATATTTTTTATCTATAAAATATATGGCAACAAATGGTCTATCTTAAACACGTGCTCAACATTTTGTGATGCAAAAGTTACTAAAATATTTTTGAACTGTATCTTCTATTAGTTCCTATTATACATAGACAACTAATGTACACCTTGTTTATACCTGGTTTTTAAAGTGTTACATGTTAAAATGGAAGCACTGTCACAGATATCATAATGAGCACTGTTAATTTTAATTAAACAATTCATATAAAGTGTGTATGTTATACATAAGCTGTATATTAAGAAATTTCACAGACTTTTTAACACAAAAACTGCTTAATACATATTATTCACAAACATCTGACAAGAACTTTTGGTAAAAGACAACTATATAATTATATTTTTCTTTCATACATCTATATGTTTTTTGTAAAATAACTTACATGAAAGAGAACTGTATGAAACGGTTCTGGTTGCAGACGAGGTAGAGAAGCTGAGCAGTTAGGAGCCACATTGAAGTAACATAGGAATGCCTCCTTAAAAAATAGAGCACACAAAATAATAATAAATATGCACACGTTGAAGGACACACTAAATGCTTTATGAAATTTTCATCTAATAATGGAAAGAAGAGAATTTACTATTTTCAATGAAGTACAAAGCCCTTTAAAACATTTTTATGGAAGTGGTATATTGAATAAACTATTAATTTGAAACTATTTAAAGCAGTTGAAAACACTAATGCATACATATTTCAATATAAGAAATAACAGGAAAATATAATACAAACTATATGATCAACATGTGCCTTTGTATTAAGGTGAAATATCTGACCTTTGTAAATGGGAATGTCAATGGTATAAACTATTACTCAGTTTACTATTACTAAAAATATTAGCTTTAAATTTTCTTTAATCTTGGCTAATTTAATAGCATATTGTTAGCCATGTTTTTTAATGTAGTAGAGAAACCAGTGAAATACATAAATCTGGATGATTGTTGGTACTTGCTAATCAATTAACTGAGAGGCTCATTAATCAATTAGTACAACACATTCCCAAAAACCAATAAAAGAAAAAAACAACAAGGTAAGTGCTACTGTCTTAAATTTTTCAGCCACTATATTATTCTAACATGGTATTATTTGTCCTATTTTATTTTACACTGATATGTTTTTTTTTTAAAGTAGTTTTTAAACTACCCTTGATTTCATATGACAGACCTCTTCTGATAGTCAACTTGCACGTTTGTGAAAAATTTGTACAAAAAATGTTTTCCCAGAAATGTTATGGACCCATGCAATCACCACTGTCTGCCTTTCAAATATGCAGTAATCCCACAATGATCTTCCATAAATCAAATAAATTGATATAAATTTATATAATGAAAATATAATATTTCTATTTAAAACATGTCACAATCACAAATAATTAAGTAGCTGGTTAGACAATTTACTTATGTACGTTTTTTGAATAGAATAAACAAAAGATATGATATTCAATAGACTTGAGTCGTCCCAATATTTTGAAATTGCTACCATACTCACTGATTTGATAACAATTCTATTTGTTGAATATAAAAAAAAGCTACATTTTATTAATATTTGTTGGACTTTTATCAAAGTAAATAAGTGACAAAATTTCACCACGATAAAGAAATTGTTCACACTTATATGGGTAAACATTGTCTAACCTTTAAGTGGTTTATTCTTGCAGGAAGGCTGTGCTTATTGGAACCAATAATATTTATGTTTTCAACTGTATGTTATTACATTTATTCATTGTTATAGATAACATATGCTGTTTTTGAATGCCTTACTCACTCAGTTTTTATTTTCTCTTATTCACTTATGCTATCTTTATAAAAGCTTTGCTTCAGTTTAAGTCCTCATAATTAATTTATGATGTTAAGGCTAAACTAACTAAACACCTTACACAGCCAGTACATAAAAAATTTGAGGGCTTTCCAAAAAAAAGAATAACTGTGTAGTTTTCAGACGCTTGACAAACATCTCATGCTTATACACAAAGGGGAGAGTGCACGGGAGAGTGACACACAATTTGTTTTTGTATTGTAACTTGCATTATTCAAAAAACCATAATAACCTAATTATCAGTAGTACTGCATATGGTTAAGAAGTAAGCATTGGATAAGAAATATGTCATAATTTCAGGAATTACTTCAGGTTTTGCCACCAAATTTCAGATTTTCTTTTAACCTGGCAACATGGTAAGTAACATGATTCTTTAAAGCTAAATTATTTTGAATGTCAATTTTCAGAAACTTTGTCTGTGATTGTGTATTGTGATTTAAAGCTAACTAATAGTAAATTCCAATCACAGCAAGCTAGGTAGTTAAGAGTGAAACTTAAAATCAACCTGGCAATCAGTATAGTTAATTAAATATATGCTTCTTACCTTTCTACTTATAAAGAATAGAATGCACTATTACATCAGTTGGATACCCTTACTGCTTGATATTTAAAGCCATAATCTCAGTAATATCTCCTGAGGTTTAGCCAGTTTAACAGATTTAGACTAGTCCTAAATACATATATTAAACTAACAGAAAATCTTTACAATATAATAATAAACAATAAACTAAAATAAAAAGCTTTTGACATTAGATATACTAAATAGTGTAATCTCTATTTTTAATGAAAGTAACAATAAATAAATTACACCCTGTAACTATCATATATGCAGTCATGAAAATAGCTTTGAACAAATGTTTATTTTAAAGTAATATCTATAAATAAATTTAACCAGCTTTTAATAGTGATGCATGTGTGTAAAGTCTTTTTACCAGTATCATATTTTTTGTAGTTTTCAGATTCAGTTTTATATTTTTCAATTTACGAGTGTAAGAAATACATTCTACTATAATAAATGATAAATAATCCTGTTTTTCCAGTCTAAGTGGTTTAAATATGCTTCAACAGGTAATATACAGGAAAAACAGGAGAAAAATACACATCAAACACATTACTTTTATAGTACTGAAGGGCTGATATAACATTAGTATATTTAGACTGTAAATATATATTTCCTCTAAATAAAAGCATTTATCATGCATATGCATTATAAAACAAAATATTAAACTTGTAAATAATCTTAAACTGAAAACACATTCGCTCAATGTGCCAACCCAAAAATAAAATCTGAAAAAAAAATTATTGTCCTGAATTACTTACAGATATTAAAACAAGATGAGTAAAGAAGTCAATTTGATGTCATTGATTGTAAGTCATGGAAGAAATCAGAAAATATTTAGCCTGTAACTGCACACACACACATATTTACTCCATAACTTTTAAACTATATTTATCATTCTAGAAATTTTGAAATACTGCAGTATAGATGTGACAGAAGTATGAATAGAGAAACAGAACATAAACAAACTTATATTTCCTTGCATATTTTATCTATTTATGTTAAACAATTCTTAAAATGCCTACCATGCCTCTGTACTTGCTGTATCTTTATTTTGTATTACTTGCTAAGAGGAATATTTACATACTATTGTAACAATGATACTTTATCATACCATTGAGGTAACTCACAGATGAAATAGTTTCCTGATCTCTGCAACAACTATAGATTTAAAATCTAGTATGTGGAAGGATTGTATAGTGATTTATTGTAGGTGACACAAAATATACAAGTATCAGTGTGAAAACAGGAAACTACACTTTCTTCTAAGAACTCGTGAGTAAAAGCAAATAATAGTGTAACAATAATATTCTAGTGACACTATATCTACCAAATTCAGTGCTGATGAGGCTTTTTGCCCAATACCAAGGCTCACAAGGCCAGCTGGGATATGACAGACATAGCAGTGGTCTGGGCATTATTTATATCACCAACTGCAGGAACAAAAACTGTAAGCACATGAAGTAGGTTAATAACAAATTATAATTTATTTATTGACAGAAAAACTGGGGAATATAGGATTACTGGTTGGCTGCTTGTCAAGTTGTGTAGTCACTGTGTGAAGTTAGGTAAAATGAAAGGAACATGTGTAAATAAAAAGAAGTGAAGATAAACACAGTAATTATAAATAGACTGAATATGATCTCCAGGTCACAAAAGGTAAAACTAAAATAAAAGAAGATGAGACTTCATAGCAGGTCTTAGCTCTTACACAACTGAAACAAATCTGTCCAAAAATGTCAAAACTGCATTCCAATTTACCTTTTCCCTATAGCTAATCAATCAGGAAAATGGATCATCAAAATCCAAAAATATCTCTGTTCCATGTGACAATGAAAAGAGATATCCTCCATACGGAAGTGTAAGAGGACACAATAAAATTATACAATAAAATGTAGATTAGCTTCCTTGATCAGACCCAAAACAGAGAACATCATCTAAGGCTGAATTTAGCACATGACCTCAAATGGATTTAAGATGTTCTCAATTAGAATGTAAAATAATTTAAATATTTTGTACATATGAAGTGTACACTATGGGAGAGTTAAACATGTATTATTTACATACTATACTATTACTGTATAGTGCCCTGTACCAAAAAGCATGGGGCTTTTAATCCAATCACAAGTGAACACAAATGCACATCTGCAAATCAAATTTCAAACTTTAAAAATAAAAATTATAACTGTAATTCAACAATTTGTTATTACATTTTTAGAGCTGATATTTGCTAATTTCATAAGTCATTTAGTGAAATTCACAAAGGAAAATGAAAAACAAAATCTAATTTATGTTTCTGCACAGCTACAAATGGTCTCATCTATATTCGATACACTTATAGATTGTTTTAGAATTGTACTGTCCACACCAAACAAGGTTTACATTCACTAAGAAACTATCATTCCTCGAAAATAGATAAAGCAAATAATAAATTATTTACATCAGTACAAAGTGAATTAAGTAGCATAAGATATAATTCATAGTTTCTTGAAAAGTGACAAGATTGTACTTCTCCAATGAAGAACAGATCTGGAAACATTTTGTTGTTTTTTTAGATGTTCTTTTAACTCCTGAAAATGTTTTTGTGTTAAATTATATTTGTTTAAAAGCTACAGACATTTATTTTCCATAACAGAATATCAAATAATCATGATTAGGTTTAGCGAGCATAGTAGTAGATGGAACAATATACCCATGATGCAAAGTTAACATTTTAGGTACCTTAAAATGTATTTCCAATAAATATCTCTTGACACAGAAAAGCTATCTTCCTCAGACCTTTTGCACATTCTGCAAAAGAGATTTTCAAAACCATCAGCTTTGTGAAAACTACCACCTAATCTCACGTGAAATCACATTAATTTGTGCTACTGCATAATGACATTATCATGTAGCAGAACCCTCCACCAATAGAAATGCAACAGACTTCCATGCACAATGACTCCACCTACATTTTACACTTGTGAATTCTCATCCTTTGACAAAGCAATGTAGAAATGTGCACCAGAATGTGTAGAGGTGCATATCTATTGGAAATACATTTTCAGGTAAGGAAAATGTTAACTTCCAAATTTATACTCATCTCCTCACACAAAACAGCAAGAATCTCATGTTGAAATGGTGGAGGTACTGGTACAAAAATTACTTAAATGAGCTCCCTTCAGAAGCATCTGAAGGAAGTCTATGGGGTGTTATCACCAATGGCTCAGGCTCCATAACAGCACACAAAACAGCTAGAATCCCATGTTGAAATGGTGGAGGTACTGGTACAAAAATTACTTAGATAAGTTCCCTTCAGAAGCATCTCCACTATCACATTGAGGAGTCCCGAGGAACGACACTCTGGAGACGGTGGAATAAGTGAACAACATCTCCTATTTTGTAATGCAAACTGACCCTGATTTATTCAATCCAGTCGTCAGAAGGAATGGGCAAAATCCTCTGATGCTTTACTCATAATAGTACCACCCGGAAAGCCACAAGGTAGTATTATGGAACACCCTATCTACACAGAGCTCATTACTACCAGGAACATTTTTTTATCAGTCTACTGGTAGCTAGTGCAGATTTGGAAAGAATCTAACCAGGCAACACCTGCCACTGAGTGGAATCTAAATGATAATGCCAAGAATGTCCCTGAAATTGATTGGAAATAAACACATGTGTAGAGGATGACCATCTTCAGGTCAGCATGTGTATGGTATTGTTGGTCTTTATAGTATTCTGGTGGATAACATGCTCTCCACAATTCACTACAATAAAGATATACAAACAAAAACATCAGCATAGTTTATTTTTACTACTTGAATGAAAAAAGTCAGATAAAGGCTTGTACTCAAAATATTAAAATTTCTGACCCCATGTCAAGAGACTTATTAAATATGTATCCAGTATCTATATAAATATAATAGTACTGTCTGTTGTATGTCCATATAACTAGCATATCTAACTAGGCAACACCTGCCACTGAGTGGAATCTAAATGATAATGCCAAGAATGTCCCTGAAATTGATTGGAAATAAACACATGTGTAGAGGATGACCATCTTCAGGTCAGCATGTGTATGGTATTGTTGGTCTTTATAGTATTCTGGTGGATAACATGCTCTCCACAATTCACTACAATAAAGATATACAAACAAAAACATCAGCATAGTTTATTTTTACTACTTGAATGAAAAAAGTCAGATAAAGGCTTGTACTCAAAATATTAAAATTACTGACCCCATGTCAAGAGACTTATTAAATATGTATCCAGTATCTATATAAATATAATAGTACTGTCTGTTGTATGTCCATGTAACTACTTCGCAGAATGTGGATGGATCTTTGCCAAAATTTGTATGGGGGGGTTCATTGGGTCCATGCAGAGATTTATAGAAATTTTCAGTTTTGAATTTTGCAGATTTTATTGACATTTTTGTGTTTTTTTACGACCACCTCACCTCTGGGAGATGGATCTTCAAGAAATTTGGTATGGAGGTTTATTGGGTCCATGGGGAGATACATACAAATTTTCAGTTTTGCATTTTGCAGTTTTTATTGACGTTTTTGCATTTTTTACAACTACTTCCCCTCCTGTGGGTGGATCTTCAACGACTTTGGAATGGAGGTTCATTTGATCCATGAGGAGAAAAACACAAATTTCCAGTTTTTGCAGTTTTTATTGGCATTTTTGCCATTTTTACAATTACATATAAGGGAAGCAGTTTTTCATGTCCTAAGATAAGCTGTCATTAATCATGAATTTATATAACTTTGGTCCAGGGGACAGGTACTACAGCTAGTTCACAATAAAGTACTTGTAAGAAGAAAAAATTTAAAGTCTCACAATAAAAGTATTTAGTGTTAAAGTTTTGACAGAATGTGATCATTATGATCCTAATTACAACATGATCTGGTAGAATAATTTACTAATTTTAATACTTTTATTAGTAAGTAAATGAAATGTTCTACTATGTTTACCATATTAACTCTGGTGATTCTACCATCTAAGAGCACGTACCTGATGTGACTAAGACAAGTGGACATACATGTATCTCATAGGGTTAAAGTTAAAATAATAGTACATGTATCTTCTACCTACAAACTTTATTTTATGTCACACATTTTGCACAGAATTATGACAGATTAAGTTAACTTGGAATTTCTTTCAAATTACCTGAGGAAAGGTTTTAGATGCTGAGAACAGGTTTTTGGGATAGTCAGCTACATCTGAACTAGTGCTGTAAACAGAAACATTAAAAAACAAATTAGTTTTTGGTAGCTTATTAATGTAAAAAAAAAATATCCATTAAAATTCTAGGAAAAAAAACAGCTAACAAATTAAAATGGTAATGACATTTATTTAAGTTTCTAGCAGTTAAAAATATCTTACAACAATAAAAATAATAACACATTTTAAAATCATAAAACAACATTTTGATTAATAGATAGCAGAATCATTTGTGGGAGTAATGTCCACCTAGTTCTAAAGAAAGTGATGACAAGCCTTTACAAATGAAAACATTTTTTGGTAGTTAATATACACCAAATCTTAATCCTTGATTCAGTGACTCTGTGGTCATCCAGAACTGATCTTTAGACAGTGAATGAAGCATTTATGAATATTTGAATTTCACAGAAAGATGATGTTAAGATGAACACCCAACATGTTGGGAGTAAAACCTACCTACCAATGTAGGGAATTGAAGACTATAGAAGAATGAAACACTTTAACACTTATTAATGGTCTTAAGATACTTTCTACTGACCTGCCAGAGGACATAAATAAGCTTGTGCGAAACAAATAAAATTACCTATGGAAGATATAGTCTTCAGTGGTCATAGAACCTGAAAAACAGGCAAATTATAGAGAGATCTGAAGAAATGAACCTGTCATTCCATATTATGAAGTCACTTGAGTGACAGCCGATTTGATTTATAGATACATTAAAAAAGATGTCATCATGGCTAAAAATTAAGTCGCCGAAATTTGAAACATGAAAGCAAGCTCAAGTGTCAGAAGAAGGCTTTATCTGACTAATTCAAAATAATGAAGTCTATGTTGCAATGGGAACCTACATAAAGATGGCATATATCACCCTATCATGGAAAAACTCCATATGAATAAGACTATGGAGATTAGCATCTAAAATTCCAAATGCAGTTATCCACAAATCCTTAGAAATAGAAGATAATTCTCAATAACCCTAAAAATTGAATTAAAGGAGAAACAACAACTGAATGAAACTAAAGAAATATACAAAACATGAGAGCTAGAAATTAACAAATAAAAAGAAAACACAAGAGTTACTTTAACAACTACAGTAATGACCTCCATACTTAAAGAAATGAATGATGTCACAAGATGACATGGGAAGATAGATGAAGAAGACCTGTGTCTACAATCATTCAATAAATTAGTTACACATCTTTCTTTAGAAAATGTGCTGTATATGAACTTTTTTTAAGTTTGTCAAACTTACTTTGGGAACAAATCACACGAATCCTGTGACTGAGAGCTGGATGCTACAGTCAGAATTTCTTGTTCAAATGAAGAATTTTCATTTTCCTTCTTCTCTTCAGATAAAGACTTACAAACCTGGGATTCAACAGGAACATCTATAACGAAACACATACCACTGTGGTACAGATACTAGCAAATTTCCTGCAAATATAACTTAAATATATCACACATTTCAAGTTTCACAAAGATCATTTATAGTCAATGTCTTGGTGAAATACAATATTAGGTCATAAAAAGTTAAAATTTTCCTATACCAGAAATGCATTTCTGATAGTACTTACCTCTACACACACTTTCGCTTTATCTTGACAAAAGTTTCTCTTTTCTTCCAATCTAAGCATCTTACCTCACTTGCTCCAGCCTTTATACCCCACTATATTGCCCAGAGCAAGTTAAATCTTGTGATTCTCTCTACCTACGTCAATGCATATATATATGCTCCCTGTTATTACTTCCTATTCACTTTTTAAAGACTGTCCAAATTAGCAGACCTGAACACTGGCCATCGTGGGGAGGATGGGTGGGAGAAGGTAATTATTACCGGAAATACAGGAAAATGTTAACTTCTGAAACACACTTCTGCTCACATTATAGCTAGAATCCCACATTGACAAGGTGAAGGGGCTGGAGAGGGCAAGATCCACACAGAAAGCATCCACATAGAAAAGAGGTGTGCGAAAATGAGATATAGTAATAGCACACAAGAGGGGGCCACACTACTTCTGGAACAGGTATGTTCTTCACCCAGATAACATGATATCTAATACCTGGGATGTGAAGGTAGACCAGCCACAGACACAAAACCCTAACATCATGAGAAGAAAACATGAATTGAGGGACAACCATACCAGAACTCACCTGCTCCTGCAATACCACACACATCCAGTCACAGTCAGTCATCCAGCTGACGTACAGATCTCCCACACTTGATTAAGTATTGTACAGAACTCACAGGATTCGTCCAGGCTTCAACCTGGCAGACAAGGTCCCATGTCTTTTCGTTGGAATTATAGGGCTGTGTACCACAGTGTGGTTATAGTTTCATTCATTTTTTATTATTATTGGATCCCAACCTGAAAGTTACATGTAGAGCCACTGTAATTACGAAAGAGAAGGCAAACAACACAAAAGTAGAGAAACCATCACCCCAACCAAACTCGGAATTACGGAGCTATTCTTATCTCACTCAACCAGAAGAAACAGAGATTACCTGGCCTAGGATTACAAACAGAAATCCTAACTCCCCAACCTTAGAGAAGGCAATACCCCCAGCCCCCAGAAATACAAGGAGGATGTGGAACAAACTAAGTCCAACCAATGGCACAGGAATTGACATCCTGCATGAGTTGAATTAAAGAGAATGACTGAAGAAGGGCCAAGCACAACCCAACCAGATAACAAAGATTCATCTTTGAACTGGAATTATGAAGAGGCTTCTGTGTAGGCTGGTTCTGCTCCTATCATACACCTGGGAAAACCATCCAGGGTTATTGGTAGGAGGGCACCCAGCTTTGCCGCCTTCTCCTTGAGTGGAATAATGGGAACAAGAATCATTCAGGAGGAATAAAACTGTGTCCACCACTACAGCAATTGGAAACTTGGAATGGTAAGGACTCCCATGCTATACTAGGAGAAATGGGAAATTACTCACATTGGTGAGTCCCGAGGAATGATGCTCCAGAGACAGTGCAATAGGTGAACCATGTTCCCTAATTTGAAAAGCAAACCAACCGCAATTTATTCAATCTAAGTGTCAGCAGGGATGGTCAAAACCCCCTTAACCTTTACTCGTGATAGTCCATGAGTGGCAGTCCAGTAGTGCATTTGTTTTTGTGTTATAACTGTGTACCACATGGAAACTGCATAAGTTGATCATCTTATAGAACACCCCATCTCAAAAGAGTTTGTTGCTACCAGTAAAATTACTGATTGTTTGACTGGTAACCAGGGCAAATTTGAAAATAAACATATTTGATCAGGCAACACCCACCACAGAGTGGGATCCCAATGAAAATGATTAAAGAGTCCCTCTAAAAGTAAACACAGAAGAAATGAAATCACTTACCTTTCTTACAAATGAACCAGGGCATGAAGAATAGCCATGGGAGGAAAGCCAAAAACCTTCAAGGAGGCAATCACCAAATCATGTAGATAAGGAAATATAGATGTACAGAATTGAGGAAAAACAAGACAATTGTATGTTTCACAAATACATCATATATTATGACCATGGTTTCACTAGTAAAGGCATCATCAGGTATCATGTGTACCTGATGATGGCTTGATTGGGGAAACCATGGTTGTAATATATAATTTATTTGTGAAACATACAATTTTCTTGTTTATCCTCAATTCTGTAATTATGGAGTTTCACAAAGTACTGATGGTTTCAAGTATCAATTAGACATAAATGTATCAGGCACAGTCCACATACCAGTCTGTATAATCCTCTCCAGCAGACAATGCAACTGAGCTGCCAGAGACATCAAGATACAACAAATTTGATGAGATGAGACCCCAAAGAAGTCTCCATCCCTCCAATGAAAGCCCTGAGTAAGCAATATGCACTGTCTGACAAACCCAACCTGTCAAAGAGACAGAGGATACATCACATGACACCTTAGAAACCCAATAGATAAACAGTGATGTGTACCCATAAACCCTTCAGTGCTTACAACAGTACATTGAAGAGCCCGAACCGGGCATAAAAGATGATTTGGATCCGAGCATTCATAAATTGGGAAGTGGAGGGAAGATGAATAGGAGAGAAAGCCCTTCTCTAGCTGCTGATATTTTGGGAAGAAAGGACCTATCGGGATACAGCAGAAAATAAGTGGAATAGTAAAGAGTCCTGTGAATATGAATCTCAAATGATAACCCATCCCATCCTAGCTGATAGCATCTATGCTAAAAGCCAGAGAGTGAGGGACAAGAGACCAAAAGTATGGAAGCTGGGCATTCCAGTGAGTGGTGAAAGCAATGAACTGAGGTGTCCCAAGATGAGAGAAGATCCAACAAAAAACTTGTGGAGGAAGCAACCATTGTATGAGAAGAACTTTGTTGGGATAACTTAACTGATCAGCCATTAATTTTATAACCTGGAACATGACAAGCAAGAAGAACAATCTGATGATTGTAGGCCCAAAGGAAGATCCAATGTCTGGAAACAAGGAAACCTAGAGTGAGTGCCACCTTACTTGTAAATGTAGGAGACCACCATGGATTTGTCCAAGTGAAGCATTACCATCTTCCCTCACAACAATGCGAGAGCCTGGGACATAGCTTGTTGATCTGCTAGAAGCTCTAAAAGATTGATGTGAGAGAATATTCCTCTTCTATCCAGAGGCTCTAGAGTTCCATGTCCCATACACAAGCTCCACACCCCTGGAGAGAAGCCTCCATGAAAAGATGTACCTCAGGATGTGGGGGAGGGAGAGAGACACCGGATAATCCAGTGCATCCTTGCAAATGTTCCAATGGTACCATAACCACCACTGAAGGGAACCTCTGTGGGCCAGACCCAAAGGATGCTCACAGAGAATGAACTGCACACTCCAGTGGAGTTGGAGATGATGATATGAGAAGAAGGGCTCATTCCATAGCCTGAAAATGTAGAGGAGAAGGTAGGCCCCGACTGGGACATGAATTGAAAAATACCCCTAAATGTACAAGGTACTGGGTGGGAGTAAGAACCAACTTCTCCATTTGGATGTAAAACCCAGCTCTCACAGCTTATGATAAAAAGAGTTTGAGTGTGAAACTCTGCCAAATGGTGGAGAGGAAGGAGAAGAATCCAGTCATTCATATAATGGTGAGTGTGAATGCCCATGGAGTGAAGATGATGAGAAAAGGATCTGACTATCCAACAAGAGATGTATGGAACAGTTGCGAGAGAAATGGTAAAGCACAAAACTGAAACACCCGTTTTATTTTTTGTAAAGAACTTTCATATGAGTTATGTAACCTACTTATAATGTAAGTAGATCATCATCATAGGATTAATAATAAAGCATTATTAATCCTTCTTATTTGATGAAAAGTATTAAATTCCTTTTAACCCTCTCACTACAGGCATCCTTTTCTAAACGTCATGAGGTTTTACAGAGTTACATTCAAAATTTAATTAAAGTACTTTCTTATCATGGTAAATGAATAAACTTGGCATAAAAACACAGCCAATAAGCCAATTTTTACTATTATACAAGTTTTAAGTTCTTAATTTCATAAGGCAATATTTCTTAAAAAATTCTGAACTTCCCCTAGTACGAGAATTGTGACAATTGCTCTCTAGATGAATTATCTAATTAAATAAAAAAATATTTAGTGCAGTAGTACCATTAGTAAAAAAAAGTAGGGTTAAGTTTCATCAACAGTTCACAGCAAAAAAAGGAATCCCTGGGAAAGTACTATATTTCTTGTTTTTCGGGTGGATTTTATATTTATTGTTATAAAAGTAACTAAATGTAAAAGTAAGATTTTTTTTAGGCTAAATAAGGTTAGATATGGTAAAATAAAAGATATGAAAGCTTTTTCACAAGGTACACTTGTGAGCAACTGACAAGTAACCTTTGCATTACGTAATTTGATAGGGTAAGATGAACTACAAATTTATAGCTTCTGGGGTGGGAATATTAGACAGTTCAAAGAGCAATAAAGTATAGATAGATGTATGCTGTAACAAGTTTAAAGCTATTTAGAATAAATAAATGTAGTTTCATGTTACTATTTGAAGTCATTCCAGAAAGAAAAAAGGATAATTTTTTTTTGGTGGTTACAAGGTCGTTTTAATTGACAGGTCTCGTACAAAGAAAATAATATATAAAATATAAAGTTTTACAGAGAAGAAAACGTTTTAAATTTATTTAGGACATTTTAGAGATTATGCAAATGAAATTATAAATATTAAGATGAAAATCACTTTGCACTTGGAGCAGTCAACACTCTGACTCCATATGTTCATGGAGAAAGTTTTAGTGAAAATACTTCATTAGAAACTCTGATTTTTTTTTGTCAACAAATGTTTCTGAATGCTTATTGAGAGCTTTCAAAATTTCAAAAAGACATAACATATTAAAATTTATAATATGGAAACTCTACAGTTCAATTTGGGGACAATTTTTAGGTCAAATCGACCAAGCCCATAGTAAGAGAGTTAAATAAAATTGACTATAAACTGTTTTTAATGATAAACAATCTATCTCACAACCACTGTAATTAGAAGAATATTTAGATTTTGGAAATAAAATTAAGAAATATTATTTCAGATTGTAAAAAAGTAGACCACACCAGAACATTAGCTAAAAAGATTAGAATAAAATCTAAGTGTTTGATTTGGTACTGTTTTCAATCCCATAAA